TGTTTTTTGATATGCTGACACAGACTTGATGACCTCCCTAGCTCCTTAACAAAAACAATCTTTGAACTCACAAATACTCCTCGAGCTGTACTGCTACCCCTTCTAGCTCGGGGTTTGGATTTTCTACGTAAAATGCACAGTAAGTACACCACAAGAGGTACTACTATATATGGTTCACCTAGCTCACTACTCTGACAGTAAAATACAGTACAAAGCCATCATAGGCACCTCCCATTAAGTGAGTGTTGATGAACGGCGCCCAGGAATTTTGTCCGTTTCTTCTGGCAAATCTCTGATAACGTCAGCTCCGTGCCAAGGCCAGTTCCTGACACCATGTTCAAGAGCCAGCAGCAGAATACACTCCACTTCTTTGCATTAATACCTTCAGGGCAGTCAGCACACATCATTTCCCACCTGCTGTACAACTGCCTTTCTTACGGAGCAGAAAAGTTTTGACATATCCCAGGCTCGCCTTTAGTCTGTTTTACTGTGCTGTCTGTGATACAGGGTTGCTGAAAACTTTGTCCTGTAGTGCCACTTACTGGACATTTATGTTAATAAATGCAGTGTGCATCAGCTCTTAGTTTTTCTCAGCTGACGTATCAATTTGAAATAATAAAAAACATAAAAGCAGTAACGTCCAATGTAAATATTATGAATGCAGTAAAGCTTGGGGAAAGTAAATACAGTAAAGCTCATTTCTTAGATGAGACGGTAGTTGTAGAAGAGCAGAAATCCTTATATTCTGGTTAGCGTAGGGAAGAGTTTGCCCTAAAATAGTCTAGGAATTCTGTCAGGTGAAAAAATATGTCGTTGGTCAAATTCATTCCTAGTTCAGTACAGACTAAGGTCTGAATTTACATCTGGAGTTTTGCAGGACCCTTATTAATGGGGTCTTTGGGAAATAAGAAGACTGAAAGGAATGCTCCCACAAGAGCCAAGGTAATGCTTATTTAATGAATACAGTTGTAGTCTCTGGGTATGTGCTTTCTGCATAAACTATTAATATTTGTGCTGTAATATAACCAGCCAGATACTACACTCTTCATGAGCATATAAGAAAACACATGCTTAAACTTACAATTGCGGCACTAACTGAGCTCTGTGTGTATTCATTGTATGTGACTGTCTGTGCAGAAGTCTTTTGAAGATCAGGACTTCTGAAGAATAAAGCTACACTACTAAGCTGCAGGTGAATATGCCAATACCACGTTCTGGGTGGTATTCAGGGTGCTCTCCTGATTGATTTTTTAAAGCAGAGAACTGTCTAGAGTCCCTGGCAGCCTCTTCCAGCTCATTCACCTGACTCTCCTTCTTGGGGAGGGCACTGGCAGGAATAGCACATGCCTGGGTCTCCCCTCAGGGGAGGAAACAAGATGAAGCCAAAACACGCATCTGCATCTGGGAGCTGGAAGATGCTGCTGGATTCTGCTTTTTTTAGATACAGCCTAAAACATTCGTAATAGGAAGATTAGCGGGGGTAAAGGAACACACGTAGTCAGAGGTCAGACATTCCCTGTGAATACCCGCACTCACACGTTTGCCCAGTTCTGCGGCTCGTGAGCCGTTGTTCTGCCGTCATCGGTCAGCGCGATCTCAAGATTCTACAGGGTTCGTGGCAAAAATTCGATTTGGTTTCTCATCAACGAGAGGAATGACTAGTCTAGTGAAAAAGAGGTTACGCAGCCATTCAACACCATCCGCACTGATTCTAGAGAGCATGATTACCTCTAGGAATGACTGTGTCCACCATAATTAGCTTTCCATTTTGCAACTCAGAGAGAGAATGTAGATACTAATGCATTTTACATTACAGAGCCTGCAAGCAGAATTTCTCTTGTGACAGCGTAGAAAACATTGTGAGGGCTTTAATGCAAATTTACAAGTGAACATCTTTGACGTATAACAAAATTAAGAGGCAGAAGACATGAACCTTTAGAATATAAACAATACCATTGTATTAGTTGGCAATTAATTTCTTTTAATGCACAACATCTAGCTATACTCATTTTCTAAATGAGATGTCTTTCCTGTTCAATCATTGAGAAGTTTTTAGCAGCCAGTGTTAGGGCTGGATTCCTTCAAAGGTGCATTAAGAATTTGCTTTGTCAGCAGTCATGGAGACTGGGATCTCTCTGACAAGATTAAAAAGAGCTAAAGCAGTAAAGTACATAAATTGTGTATAAAATTCAATGTGCAAGAAAACTGCAACGCATGGATATTGGTGCAAGCCTTTACTTTTTCATGAGACAATCTCACCCTGGAATATCTGTACCGTCAACTATTATATTTATATTCCTAAGTACAATGTAAGTCCTGGAGCCCCAGGTGGAAACAGATGTTTGGACATCTGAGATTTGATCTGTCTGTGTCAGAATTAGTCAAAGGATCAGGTAATCCTAGGAGTCACTGCCCCAGTTTTCAGCAGTTACAAAATTGCTTCTATTTAATAATAACTTCATGCAAAAACATGCTTGGGTTTACATACATACAAGATAAGAAGAGACACTGCTAGAAGTTTATTCCTAGAGTGCCAATTAGGCCTCAAACCATTGTGAGTGCAATAGGTGCACAGTGGTTTCCAGCTCAGTTTGGGATGTCCTACAGATCCTGCACAGAGGCTGTCAACAGCTGGGAAATAGCACAGCACGAGAGGTAATCCCAAAAACGTTAATTCCACTATGGAAAAATAAGTGCTTTCAAAACTTACAATTGAAATTTTTAACTTTTAATTGAAAAACATGAAGTGACTTTTCTAGCTAAAAGCTGACAACAAAATCCAGCCTACAAGATTACATTTTTATGAAAAAAATATTAAGACATCCAAATTTTCACAGTTCAGTTTCAACAGCAAAAACGTCACCAGCTCCACTGGTGTCCGCCAGACACTACCAATAAATACATCTAGGGGCTCTCCACAAACGTTGAACCCTTGGGGATGGGGAGAGTTCTGACTTTTTAATAGGCTAAATTCCCATTTAGCCTTCTGCCGTTTCGCAACAACCAGTGCCAGTGAAGTCACAGTTTGCCAGCCTCGTATTCAAAGTGTTTGAAGAGTAATATTGCTCTCCCCTTCAAGGATGAGATCCGTAGACAGAGTAGCAGCCTTACTGAGGGAATTTTGACAGTAGCTGAAACAGGCCTCTGCGCGTGGGCATGCCGTTCTGGTACACCCAAGAGGTACACTAGCACTGTCCGCAGAATGCACCCGGCGAATGTACATGCAAAACAGCTATATCCGAGCATGTTTCCCCCCATTCCCAGAAGACTCAATATCAGTTACGGGATGAGATCAGCTCATGAGTTGCTGAGTTATCAAATCAGCGTAACACTGTCTGCCTTAGAGGTAAACATTAACGGGCTGGTTCTTGAAAAGCCTGTTAGGAACCTAGTTTGCAGGCTTATCATCGTGTTCACTGGGGAGCTGCGTTGCAGAGAGAACAGGAACAGCGTAACTGGGTGCTATTCTTCAGAAATCTCAAACAATCACCCATTTAACCTCAAGCAGAAAAGCGATGAGATCCGATAAATATAAAACGTAGAGTGGCCATAATTGCTAAAAAGAATGAAATGCTCTGAAACCTATTCCTCAGCCTGTCCTTAACGTAAACAAAGATCCGTTTCTGCTTGACTCTTTCCAAGGCAGCGTATGTGAAAAATTTCTGGTGACTGGGAGTGATTTCCCAGGAAGGCATTACTGTATTACTCCTGACTCCTTTTTAGGATTGGGACCTGAGAGGACATTATTTTTCCAAGGGTTGTTCTGCTGCGGTTTCCTACGAGCGTTTCCCTGCCGCTGGTTGTTTTCCGCGCGCCTCAGTAAAGCCGGCGCGACGAAAATGAGAAAATAAATGAAAAGCCATCTTCGCTGCCGCGGCGGCCTTCGGACC